AGGAATCTGGAGGGCTATAGTGCAGGCAGCTGACCTGCTATGTGTCTGTCCTCCAAGCCTGACTCATGGCAAGGCTGCCTTTGTTGCTTTTCTAGCCAGTTGATTTTCACTATTTCTATCAGAGAGACAGGCTTTGATCTCTACAGATATAAATATTAAATTATCCTCCTTAATCAAGGAGGAGAAAGGGACATTCTCAAAACCTTAAGCTAAGAGAAGTGGGCCAAAAATGAAAGATATTTGAAACCGTTTCAAAACTGGCTAACACATAAACCAATGGATTATGGATTATGTAAACCCATCCACCCTTTTTAAGTCCTCTAAACATCCTTCCAGCCCAGCACATGTGCCCTCAATAATAATAGCTGATTTACTTCCCTGTCTCATCATCTAGACTCCAAACTCCTAAAAGTACTCATTTTACACCTGGGGAGTCACAGCTCCTAGCACATCCTAAGTGCTCTGCGCGCTGTCTGCTTGTCTCCTCTGTAGAGAATGTGTTTCAGGGCCTCTTACACAGTGAAACAGATTTTGGACCCTAAATAATTATTGAAGAATGTCATCATCTAAAGGATTCGCTACATGGAGGCAACATGCAGGAGCCGGCAGGCAGCATCTGCAGCTCCCAATCAAAGAAGGAAGCTTTCCTTTGATGAGTTCACGGATAACTTTGTTGCCACCTGATAGTTGAAAGCACTGGAAATAAACAGTTGAACACAAACAGGGTTGGACGCCTGAATCGCTTAGTACGCAGTACTGGAAATGTTCATATATCTTTTCAGCAAAACTGTAAATTTCTTGGACGTTAGAGGTTATGTATGTCCTGTCAATCTTGCTCCCCCCGCCCTCTGCCTACCATGCTGCACAGTATGGGAATGCGATCACGCGAAAGCTAAGTGGATAAAGTAGAAAAACAAGAACCTCCTACAGTTAAGGCAAAAGGGTAAAAGGACAATGCGGGCTGGTAAGGAAGAGGAAAGGTGTCCACATGCAGGCCAGAGGCTCCAGTGCAGGAGGTCGGAGGGCTCCGCAGACTGCGTGCTTCCCTGACAGAGGCAAGGGGGAAGCTGGAACATGGAAGCATAGAATGAGATCTAAAACCGGGCAGAGAACAGAGGGGAAAGGAAGCCAAGAGAGGATTGGGAGGACATAAATAAAGCGATGAACACCAAGGTCAGAAGATGAGAACAGTCTTCATTAAAACCACGGATACAGGGAAAGTGGGAAGAAAGATGAAAATACAGCTCAACACAATGACAGGGGAATAGAGGCAGGAGTCCAAGGAGACAGCCTAGAAGATCTCTTGAGCTGGCTGTTAGTAAAAGCAAGAGCTGTGTGTAGAGGGGAAAGGAAAGGACATTGGCTCAGAACCCACAGTGCTGCCCAACTCTGGAGCAGGTGCAAACCACCAGCCACCTTTTTGTTTTTTCTTTTTCCCATCTCCTTTTCTTCTCCATCCATCCTCCTGCTTTCTCTCCTTTCCTCCTGCTACTAAAAGTGTTGGCCAAATAAGACCACATACTTCTTTCAGGTTAGTGGAATGGATGCATTAGAGTTCTGCCTTTTTCTGTCCCGATGACACGGGTACAGAGAAGGACTAGATATCCTTCTAGTGTCTTTTCAACAGTGAGCCTCATGGAACAGAAAAGTAATGGTGGTTTCTGCCAGCAAGGACATCAAGGACATCAAGGTGGCATGCCTCACTTCGTGAACTGCAGTCAGCAAGTGGATATCATCGCGTCTAAATTATTAACCATCTAACGAACAACCAAATCGTATTATGGACTCTGGTGTTCTGGGAGGAGGGGAGGAATGCTACTGACTCCTATCACCCATTGGCTGGGTTTCCTTCCACATGTGAAAATCTATCCACCACAGCTGGGACCCAAGGCCACACATTCTACAAAACTGTGAAGGTCCTTCTACTATAACATGTTGTTGTTGTTGTTCTTATAGTTGTTGTTTAGTTACTAAGTTGAGTCTGACTCTTTTGCGACCCCACAGACTGTAGCCCACCAGGCTCCTCCATCCATGGGATTCTCCAGGCACTGGAGTGGGTTGCCATTTCCTCCTCCAGGGGATCTTCCTGACCCAGGGATAGAACCTCCATCTCCTGTATTGGCAGGTGGATTCTTTACCACTGAACCACCTGGAAAGCACTGAGAAGAACTAAAATTAATACGTTTTAAGCAGTTAGAAAAATGGAATCATCTACCTTAATGCGGTGAATTTTATCATGCAGCCTCAATAGCGAAAACTTGAAACAATATGAAATACATCAGATTTGAGGGAAATGCCCCCAATTTTGATGAGTAAGTATTTTTACTCACTCTTCATGTTGCTACATCTTTGAATAAACATTGTTTGTGCTACTACTGCACTGAAATTTCTTCCCTGAAACAACTCTAAACTCTCCAATTCCATGTATTCATGTTCCCACTTCAAAGTTATCTCTGAGTCCCTCTCTGCGATTGAAGATGTGTTGCTGCTGCTAAGTCACTTCAGTCATGTCCGACCGTGTGCTACCCCATAGACAGCAGCCCACCAGGCTTCCCCATCCCTGGGATTCTCCAGGCAAGAACACTGGAGTGGGTCGCCATTTCCTTCTCCAATGCAAGAAAGTGAAAAGTGAAAGTAATGTCGCTCAGTCGTGTCCGACTCTTGGCAACCTCATGGACTGCAGCCTACCAGGCTCCTCTGTCCATGGGATTTTCCAGGCAAGAATACTGGAGTGGGGTGAAGATGTGTTACCTTACTCCAAAGAATGGTGGTTATCAACAGGTTTTTAACAGGTGTGCTCGCCTTTCTCAGTAGACACAAATGTCGAAAGGAAAGCACCACCTTAGATAGAGAAAATAGAATCTATACTTGTGAAAGCCCAGATTCTGTCGTTTGTTCTCAGAATTTGAACCTAGATCATCCCCTAACTCATAAACTTATTGAACTCTATAAGTTTGATGGCAAATCACTTGCAGAAAAAAAGAGAGGTATTTCTGCCCAGTAAGAATTTCAGACTAAAGTGAGGTTCTCACTGCAGCCCATGAAAGCTTCTCTGACTTGTGCTCCACCTAAAACAGCCGCAATAAGGCTGCAGAACGAACAGTGAAAGTGAGATCTCTATTGGGAAATGCATTCAGCATCCCCATTTTGTATGCCAAGAACCCCAAACTCTCCCTTTCTGACAATGAAAGCAGGGGTTCCTTTGCTCAAAGCAGGCTTTGAGTGTGGTCATGGTGTGGACATTGCGGATGAGGGTCTCTGTGAAGATCGAGACTGGACATGCATAGAACTTCCCTGGTGATCCAGTGCTTAAGACTCCGAGCTTCCACTTCAGGAGCACAGGTTTCACCCTTTGTGGGAAACTAAGATGTGGCTTGCCAAGCAAAGGTGAGGCCAAAAAAAAAGAGTAGAAATGCAAAGTGAGGGAAGTGAAAACACTGTTCAGACTGGGAGAAAAGATTGTGCAAATGGCTCAGTCATGTCCAACTCTTTGGGACCCTATGGACTATACAGTCCATGGAATTCTCCAGGCCAGAATACTGGAGTGGGTAGCCTTTCCCTTCTCAAGGGGATCTTCCCAACCCAGGGATTGAACCCAGGTCTCTCACATTCCAGGCGGATTCTTTACCAGCTGAGCCACAAGGGAAGCAAAGATTGGGGGGAGGAAACAAAAGAGGGAGAGTGGGGTAAGTGAGCGAAAGTGCTGAAGGTCACAAACAGTTTCTCACCTCTTCCTCCCATCTCCTTTGCATCCTCAAAATGTCTCTTTTTTGGCTCCCCTTTTGCAAGACTGTGTGGGTAAGGATGGAGAAGTGAAAGACTCCACATATCCCACGAAGTTAGACGAAGTAAGAAAGGGTGGGTATCACCAGTAAGAAGTAAAGTGGGAGACATGTAGTGTTCCAGAACAGGGAGAGATGCTAACATCTAGTTGGAGACAAGAGGTGGGTTTGTCACATGTAACATGTGTATTCATAAATCAAAACCTTGTCTCTGTAGCCTGGGCACTGGCCCAAAGAGAAATCAATAGTTACTGCTCCAAAGCGGAAGAACAATTACCAAATAATAAATCAACTATAGAGTCCTTGTGAATGTTTCTTCTGTTAAGGTTAATATTTTTTTAAAGTATATTCCCAAATTTTTTTGCACACCTCTTGCAATTTGCCAGGCATAATGTCTTCATCAAAGGCACTAGAATCTAGAATAAATATAGGGTAAATAAATATAAATAAATAAATACTTTTTAAGGAATTCACACATTTTAAATTCTATTGCAGAAAGTCGGCTTTAGTCACCAACCTCAAGCAAGGTGACTTCCTTCAACCAGTTGTGTGGCCTTCAAAAATAACTATATCCAGAACTAATTTCCTAATGTCTTTTTTTACTACTTGCTATAGATTTTAACCATTGGTCATTCTCTACCAGTAACACAAGTACCGCCTGAAAATTTTCTGTTTTTGTCTAATTTAAGCTATAAATCTTATCATGTTCATGTTCAACTTTTCACACATTGTGTCAGCTTCTCACACATTGGGTCAACTTATTTCACACATTGAAAATCAAAAGTACAAACAACATTAATTATTTAAACGATGTCTGGGATCACCACCTCTTCTCGAAAATTACTTAAATAATGAATTTAACCTCATGTTATTAAAAATACTGCACAATTAAAATATTTTCTTCTGTGTTTTTTTCTAGAGAGACCTATATGATCCTGCTGGGCATAAACACAGTATAAGAGGAAATGGAGAGAATACACAGCTAGATAATGGAAGAATAAGGGTATGTTGTATCTTGTCCTATACGTCTGAGGACAAGTACTCAGCCTGTTTGTTTCCACCAATGATCCAACGGAATGGTTATCTTTGCCTTAAAACATGTAATGTCCTATTTATACACATTGGACATTTCATCTCTTATGATCAGAATGGCATACAAATCTCTAAGACAACAGCGTGAGAAATACAAAGTGGCGCTGTTACTATTATTTGCATTACCTCTGTACTCACAGCTTCCATTGGTCTTTTCTTGATTTCTCCTATGTCCAAGTAACTGGGGGGAATAAAAAGAATAAGGGTTCTTTTCATTACTTTTGAATCAGTTGTGTAAATTTCTTTTCAAAAATTACTGAAAAACAAGAGGGAGGTGGGAGGGGGGATCGGGATGGGGAATACATGTATATCCATGGCTGATTCATGTCAATGTATGACAAAAACCACTACAATATTGTAAAGTAATTAGCCTCCAACTAATAAAAAATAAAAAAATAAAAAATAAAAAAAATAAAAATTACTAAAAAACAAAGTAAGCCATAGGAAATGCTTAAGCCAAAAGCAAAAAAGTCAATAGCTACTAATTTAAAGCCATGCGAGTCACATGAAAGGCTTTCAGAGCTGACACATGTCTATTCTAAACCTGAATGAAATTGAAGCCTTAGAGATACATAGTTCTATTGTGGAACATTTTTCCCCACAATGGCTAGCTACTTACTGCGCATACATTATTTCTCGCTTTTATATCAATTTCAATACAGAGCAGTTTGTGTATAAAGCTTCTTAATGGTTCTACGAATCACAGACTTTAGCCCAAAGAGAGTTGTACAGATGTCATGCATCAGAGTAACAACTGTGAAAGGCTGAGAAAGCTTTTTCCCTAGGAGAGCACTTTAATGATCCAGAAATGCTCAGCCATGTGGGATGGTTTAGGCTCTGGTTCAGCTAAGAGACAGACGGGTGAACTAGTTAACCTCTGGAGACCCCTATTACTCCATTACTATTTGCTATATACATTAACTACTGATCATTCTTTAGCTATAGCGTAAGCACAACCTAAAAACTTTATACCTTTGTCAACTTCCAAGCTACATATTCATCACTGTGATTTGGTCCCATTGTGCTTCATACACAGAAGGTGCTAAATAAATGTTTTAATATCAAAAATAAATGTAAATCTAGCATTTAATTTACAACCATAGAAAGATACACTCTCTACCTCAACTACTATAATTGCTGAGATGCCCCCAAAAAACTTATATCAGAATTAATTTTGGCTATGTTTTATCTTGTTGTTTTTTGGATAGAACGCTTCAGTCAATCATGCCTCTAGAAATTATCATCTATTTCCCTTACATAAACAGTTATTACTTGCATAAGACAGTGCAAATTCTCCCTCTGTTTAGCGTATAATGGGTCTTTTGGAAATCTTCAGGAACTGGTTTCTGACAAAATAACAACACATTCTAATTGTCATCTGTGGGAAAGTCATCTCAGATCCACCAGATTAATGCAGTAGGATCAAATTCCCAAAATGTATAAGGAAAACTTTGGGGTAAGTAACAATCTCTAGATGTCTCTTCTATAAAATAAACAGTTTGACAGCTACCTGAAGTTTAATCATGGTTTCAAAAATTTTAGAAGAAATATGAGTAAAAGATATTCAAGAAGAAAGTTGATCATTTTCATTTGAAAAATATTTTCCACCATTGCTATCTTCCACAAGTGCTATGCCCGAGCACTTGTCTCATGCATCCCACCTGGGCTGGTGATCTGTTTCACTATATACAATATACATGAAGCATAGTTTCATTCAGTGCTTTCCCCAGCATCATTCAGGGCCTACCTGACATGAATTACCCTCAATATGTTTGGATTTCCCTTTGTTCGGCCAGTTTCCTAATTTGTTATATAAACTGAAAACTGCTAGCTGTATATTCAGCAAATATATTCAGCATTTAAATCTTCCTGGCTTCTATCATCATAACCATAGATACTACCACTTTAACACAAATAAATAAACTATTCATCTGTCAGCATGGAAAACAAACCATGGACACTGTTATAACAAACTTGGGGTTTTTGTGTGCGAGTGAAAAGCAAAAACAGCCATGTAAATCTCTTATTATATATATGTGTGTGCGTGTGTGTGTGTGTGTGTGTGTAAAGAATGATTTGAAGTGCACTTTCTATTTGGTTTGAAACTGTACCTGTTTTTATCTTTTGAGTTAGTAATGCTAAATAAACAAAAGAGAATATGAATTATTATTAAAGGGAGCCTGTAATTTTGAGCTGTTAATAGATTCTGAAGCAGGTTCCCATCTCCATGAAATTGCTTTATATGAAAGTTATTTAACTTTAAAAATTAATGAAGTATATGATGAAAGGGACTGGACACAGAGATGCTTTGCATTCATATAACACTTTGGTGCTTACAAAACACCTTCACATCCATAGCATTTATTTTCTACAATAACCCTGTGAGGTAGGAATGGCTATGTTCCTTTTCTGTGTTAGGAAACTGATAACTCACAAGGATTATCAACTGAAATGCACAAGGATACAGAGCTAATAAACAGCTCAGTCTCAAGTCTCCTGATTCTCAGTTTTAAGTTCTAAGTTTCTTTGAAGCACAGTTTCTTTTTTTTTTTCATTTATTTTTATTAGTTGGAGGCTAATTACTTCACAACATTGCAGTGGGTTTTGTCATACATTGACATGAATCAGCCATGGAGTTACATGTATTCCCCATCGCGATCCCCCCTCCCACCTCCCTCTCCACCCGATTCCTCTGGGTCTTCCCAGTGCACCAGGCCCGAGCACTTGTCTCATGCATCCCACCTGGGCTGGTGATCTGTTTCACTATATGTAATATACATGAAGCATAGTTTCATTTAGTGCTTTCCTAAGAAAGTTAGACAAAGCATACTAAAGGAGGTTTCAGAGAAGGGAAATTAAAGCCAAATACATCCCTCACCTCCCATAAAAAGAATATCTGGCATAACAAAAATCAGAACACTTAGAGCTCAACCTAAACAAACACATAAGGAAGCATATTACACAAATTTAGTGATATTTAGGGAAATAGTTCTATATAGTTAAAACCAGAATTCACAAGCACAGATTTTATGGTAAAGATTTTTTGACCATCCTGAGGCCCAAGGTGAATTTTAATTAAAATACATTAAAAATTATGGGGGGGTTAACTACAGAGTTATCATATAATCCAGCAATTCCACTCCTAGGTATATACCCAAGAGAAATGAAAACTTATGCACAATTGTTCATAGCAGCGTTATTCATAATAGCCAAAAGTGAAACAACCAAATATCCATCAACTGATTCAATGATAACAAAATGTGCTATAGCCATATTACAGAATATTATTCAGTCATGAAAAGAAGGAAGTACTGATACATACTACAGCATGATGGGCCTTTAAAACATGATACTTCACTTCCTTCCTAAGTGAAGGAAGACAAAAACACACAAAGTCACATATGACTTTTATAGGCAGACCTTGCTTCATTGCACTTAACCGATACTGTGTTTTTCTACAAATTGAATCAGGTTTGTGGCCACCCTGAATAAAGCAAGCCTATCAGTGCCATTTTTCCAATAGCATTTGCTCAATTCAGGTCTCTGTGTCATATTCAGGTAATTTTCACAATATTACACACTTGTCATATTAGTGTATTTGTTATGGTGATCTGTGATCAGCAATCTTTGATGTTACTACTATGACCTGCTAAAAGCTCAAATAATGGTTAGCATTTTTTAGCAATAAAATATTTTTTAAATGAGGCATGTACTTTTTTTAGATATAATGCACACATAACAGACTGCAGTATAGTTTAAACACAACTTTTATATATACTGGTAAACCAAAAAACTCCTGCGACTGGCTGTACTGCAATAATGACTTTACTGCAGTGGTCTGAAATAGAACATGCAATATCTCCAAGGTCTGTCTGTATATAAAATGCCCAGGATAGACAAATCCATAGAGACAGAGAAACTAACCACTACTGATCAGTGGTTACCAGAGGAAGGGGAGAAGGGGAAATTGGGAAGGTACAGGATTTCTTTGGGGAGTGATGGAGATGTTCTAACATTAGTTTGTGATGATGGTTGCAAAACTCTACGAAAATACTAAAACCGCTGTGGTTGATGTTATGTGAAATCTACCTCAGTAAAACTGTAAATATATATATATATATATATATATATATATATATACCCATGGAATATTAAATTCTACCTGTCCCACAGTACCCACCGCCACGAGGAATAATTTTTCTCAACCCCCACATAACTTTACTTTTCTAACTGCCCTCACCCCTTTGTACTTTGCATTAAAATTACTGGTGTGCACATAGTCTATCTCCTGTTAGACTGTGACCTCCAAAAGAACAAGTTGTGTCTTTTCTCTGTTCCCTTCACAGACCAAAGGCACAGTTTGCCAATGCACTGAACACCCACAGTAAGTGAGCTCCTAGCCAGGAACTGGGGACAGGCATCACTAACGACCCCTGTCCTTCAAGATTTAACCATCAACCATCTGGTGACAGGCTTGCAGACAAACACAGTAAGCCAGTAAACTTTTCCAGGCATCAAGGCAATGGCCTTAATGTGCAGGTGCTGGGCGGAGGGGGTCACACAAAGTGGGGCGTGGTCAGTTCTACTCGGAATGGAAGTCTAAAGAATTTCCACAGCGAGGAGAATATGCAGAGAGCACTTTCTCCACTGGTGACATTTCCGTATCCAGTTTTTCCGAGTCATTTTTAAGAAATCATTATTTCAACCAAATAAATAGATTCCCACACTGTAAATCAACTATACTCCAATCAAAATTAAAAATAAAATGATAGGTCCCAAGAAAAAAAGAAAGAGAAAAAGAACAGGAAATGCGAAATATCTAACATGACATTTGTGCTAGTCTTTCCAAATAGCTAGTCATTGAATACTTTTTTTTTTTAAGATTCTCATCCATCATCACACCTTTAAAGTCTGTTCCTACTGCTCCCTAAGTGAGCTTTCTTCTCCAACCACGCTTTCAACCTCTAATGCAACTGCAGCAGGAGCTTTGAGGGCCATCAACTAGGACAGCCACAGCCCCTGAGCCCACCGCCCCCTGAAACGATGCGCGGCGGGGTAAGACGGACTCACTTGAGTTTCTTGAAGGCTTCCTGGCCCCCGGCCACGTAGTTGCCCCCGCTCTGGATCTGGTCTAGCTTCCAGATGCGGTGCCCGGTCCGCGGGGTGTAGATGTTCCGAACCGCTCCGAAGGGAGCCTGGACGCCGCCCGTCACCTCCTTGAGGAAGACGTCGAAGCTGGACACCTTCTTCTCATGGAAGACGACGCGGCGGCCCGTGAAGAAGGGGTCCCCGTTCCGGTACACCAGCACGCTCTTCACGACCGGCTGCGACAGGTGCCCAGACCTGGCACTGGTGCGGCTCATCTTCCCCTCGGGACGCCCGCGCGGCTCTCTTCTCCGGGGGGAGGCACCGCGGCTGCCCCAGCGGCCTCACCGCACACGCGCGGCGCGGGGTCGCGTCCTGAAACGAGCGCGAAACAGACAAGCCCGTGGGCGACCACGAGGCAACCGCGTGCGCCCGGCGTCCACCGGGCGGAGACCCTGCAGCTGCAGGACTCACCGGGCACGTTCAAGTAGTTCACCCGAGTTTACACCACCAATCAGACCTCTGCCGTGCGCGCGCGCACCTGTTTCTCTCGCTACCGGCGGAATCAAGGTGTAATCACCTCTGCACCGGAGCTGCGCCAGGGGCGGGAAACAGGCAGACTGCTTGCGCCCGGGTGGGAGAGAGGTGGGAACACACAGCACATGCACCAACTATATAATTATAAATATGCTGAAACTTCTTTCCTGGCTCCCACTTCTCAACCTCCTGTTTGTTCCCGAAATCAAGTAATTAGGGTTTGCGCTGAAGCTGCCCAGCTTTTTCTTCGCTGGGAGATAAATGCCTAAAGTGCACTGAGAGAGGAGAGTCGAGCGTCCGAGACCCCTCGCCCCCGCCCTTCCCGCAGCCAAGACCTGCACCGCCCCCAGCGAAGCTCCCGAGGGCATCCTTTGAACACTGCGAACAGGAGCGCGCAATCAAGTCCCAAGGTGGGGTGGCGGGGAGGGGGGGGGCCGGGAGGCGCCCGCGGCCGGGGTACCTACCGACACAGGAGGGCGGAGAGGAGGTGGGGGTGGAGCCGGGGCACGGCGCTGCGGCTCGGCTGGCACGGCGGTGAACTCGCCGGGGGCCGCGCGTCGCTCCTGCTGTTCCTCCCGCAGCCGTTGCCTCTGCGGGCCTCCCTCATCCCAGGGGGAACGGAGTTGTTATTTCCCGCCGTTTCCATAGTAACTGCAGCCCCGCGCAGGGAGCGCAGTCGGCGAAGTAGGCCTGGCGCGCTCGAGGATCTCTTGGGCTTTGCCCCGGGCGTCCGGCAGCGACTCGAGAAAGTGAGCGTTTTAGGGGGAAGAAGGGGCAGCCCGGGTCGCAGTATCAAGTAGCCACTCTATAAACGGACGCCTGCTGGGTGCCTAGCGCTGCGTTAGAAGTTGGGGGATACAGCGGTGTAGAGAAAAACCTAGCATTTTTGAGTCCCTACCCTGTGCGTGTGTAGTTTTATAGCAAGAAAAAGAGCCTACATCCATGCTGTTTGTGTAGATTGGATCCCTGTATGGGTAAGAGTCGGACACAACTGAGCAACTGGACTGAACTGGTGCGTTAAGAAGTGCCTGGGACCGGGAGGCTGGGGGCTGGGGGCTGGGGTGAGAGCTTTGATCAAGGGGTGCTTTATCCAAGCTACTCTGGGACATATATGTTGTGGAACAAGAAAATGTTCTTTAAAAAGGTGAAATCTTCCAGTTCGTCTCTGCCAATGTTCCCCTATTCCTCCTAAGACATCAGGACTATGTGTCACGTGCAGGTATCATTACACGCCGTACCTAATTCATCATCTATGAATAAAAATTATGGTCAAAATAACTACCATTAATTGAACACATATCATGTGCATTGTGTGAGGCGCTTTAGATAGATTATCTAATGTTCAGAGCCTTCAGAGGTAAACATTCTTCCCTCCGATGAGGAAACAAAAGTAGGGAAGCCTCAAGTCACATGGGAAAATTCAAACCCAGTTTTCTGTGATCCCAGGACCACTTTAACCACCATGACATACCATCTGAGAGATGAATATATGAGACATTGCAATCTGGGGTAGAAGCGTTTTTAAGTAAAGTTACTTAATACAGCAATGCCTTGAAAGTTCACAGTTTTCAAAAGACCAAAGAGGGAAAATAGAGGAAGGAAAATTTGTGAGCTGATTGTGAAGAATACAGGTTCGACTTCCCTGGTGGGCCAGTGGTTAAGAATCTGCCTACCAATGCAGGGGGCACAGGTTCAATCCCTGCTCCGGGAAGATTCCACAGGCCACCGGCCAGCTGGGCCTGGGCACCACAACTACTGACCCCATACTCTAGAGATGGACAGCCACAACTAAAGAAAGCCCATGGGCAACAACATAGACCTAGGGCAGCCAAATAAATAATTTTTTAAAAAAAGGTTAAGAATACACAGGTTGAGAGGAAAATATCAGTGAAGATAGGCTGCCAAATGGTAAATAAGACAGAAAATCAGTTTGGCAGTAAATCTAGCATGCCCCCCCCCCAGACCACCTAAACCTCCCTACTCCCATACCCATACCAGCCCAGAGCAAAATAAAAACACATGGCCTCTTGCTCAAAAATTCAAAACTTCAAGATGGCAGCAGCAGAACAATAAACAGCACGAGGATCTTCCAGGTGTGAAGCCTTGTGGCCAGCCCAGGAGGCAGCCCCACATCTGGATTCTAATGCCTCCCCCAACGGTACCTCTAGCCCAGGTTTGTCTCCTGAGCCCAGACTCATTTATCCAGTTGCCTCTTAGACAGTGATATGGTCATAAATGTTTAACTACTGGTTTACAGAGTGGGAAAGGCCTTGATTCACAACATTTGCCAACTTTTGTAATTTCAGTAGCACAAACCAGGCCAATTTCCAGCTCCAATATGACATCCCTGGAGGCATGAGTTGTGTCATCACAGGTATGGTATTTTCTTCATGCAGATGCAACAGACATCTAACAAAAGGAAAAGAAAGTGAAATCGTTCAGTTGTGTCCGACTGTTTGCAATCCCAGGCTCCTCTGTCTATGGAATTTTCCAGGCAAGAGTACTGGAGTGGGTTGCCATTTCCTTCTCCAGGGGATCTTCCTGACCCAGGGGACAAACCCGGGTCTCCTGCATTGCAGGCAGACGCTTTACCATCTGAGCCACCAGGGAAACCCAATAGACATCTAACCTCAGAGATAATAGTAAAATGGAGGTGGTGATGAGTTTTGAGTCATTATTATCTTTGTTTTTTTAATTTATTTAATTGTAAATTTATGCAATTTAATTTTTAATAATGACCATGTTTAAAATTCCTGGAAATTTAACAGCTGAGTCTTGCAAGTCAGTAGAAGGTGGTTCTCAGCCCATCCTTTCTCCTAGACAACATCCTTAGACCATCAAAAAGGCAGTCTGGACTCAGAATGCTCACAGGAGCTCACATTTTCCTCAAAATCTCTTTTCCTAAGATCCTTATCTCCATGAATGGACCCCCATCTACCCCATTTGTTCAAAGCTGGAACATTCACATGAGTAAATAGGCTAATTCTTATTTAGAAGGAAGGAAGAGATGGACGAAAGGGGGAGGGGTGGGGGAGGGAAGTAAGAGAAGGAGGAGGAACTGGGAGGGGGGCGGAAGAGGAAGATTTGGAGTGTTTGGGCATGCATGCTAAGTCACTTCAGCCCTACCTCACTCTGCATCCTCATGGACTGTAGCCTGCCAAGCTCCTCTGTCCATGGGATTCTCCAGGCAAGAATACTGGAGTGGGTTGGCATGCCCTCCTCTAGAGGATCTTCCTGACCCGGGGATCGAACCCATGTCTTGTATGTCTCCTGCATTGGCAGATGGGCTCTTTACCACTACTGCCACCTGGGAAGGAGTGTTTGTGGGCATTCAGCAAAGAAGAGATGAATGGGAGCAATAGCAATTGGGTGGGGCCTCCCAGGGGAGATGCGTCTTGAGGTGGGCCATGAAGAATTGACTGGATATGATACAGTGAAGAGTTGGAAAGGAAGTTAAAGGAAACTTCATGAGAAAAAGAAGATAAGCAAGGACAGTATGGAGAAGTAAGCCAGGGAAGAATCCAAAGGGCAGATAGTTGTCTCTGACCCAGGCCTGGCCCAGGAGATGGTGGGTGGGGAGGCCTGTGTCTATTGGGGGAGCCTGGGGTGAAGGTCTGGAGAAGGAAATGGCAACCCACTCCAGTATTCTTGCCTGGAGAATCCCATGGACAGAGGAGCCTGGCGGGCTACAGTCCATGGGGTCACAAGGAGTCAGACACGACTGAGCGACTAAGCGGGGGGTGAAGGTCAGTGATGCTGGATGGCAGAGTTCAGCAGAGAGGGCCCCGGACGCCAGGAGAAATCAGAGGCTGCCGGAGGAGGCCCAGCCTGTGGTGGCCAGTGTCTGCTCTGAGGAGAGCCTCCTGAGTTCCTTAGCCATCTCAAGGAATCCAGGTTCTATGCTCCTCCTCTGTCGGGAACGGCCCACAGTGATTGGAGAGACCCCCGCTGTTCATCGTCTCGTGCTGAACTTTGTGGCATCTGGGATTCCCTAAGAATAAGGAGGATGTGGGCTTCCACTGCCTTCACACCGTGATCCTGTGCCTGGGCTGGGACGTCCCTGAAGCTTCCCTCCCTGTGGGCTGAGGTTAGAAACCTTGCAAACCATATGCCCAGAGGCCCCATTAGAGTGTGCAGGAGAGCTGGGAGTATGGCTGCACCCCAGGAGGGACCTACGGAGGCTCCCTCCAGCTGAGGGCCCTGTGGGTCAGGGTTCCTCATAGCGTGACAAGAAGAACCCCAGCATACTACCTGCGTGAGGGGAACAGGTCACCCGGGAGTGGGCTCAGGGTACAATCCTACTTTGCGCATCTCTGGGGACAAGAGGTGCTCTCTAAGACAGAGGATAACATACAATAAATGAAGATATAAGTACTGCCATTTTCTCTGCACGGACTGCTTAGGTACCCGGTTTTTTAGCATGGTTGTGTTTTCCTTTTTTAATAGAGGAAAGGATGTTGCTCGGTTCTTTCTTCTTTTTAACTTTTTTATTCATGGCTGTGCTGGGCCTTAGTTGCTGCACAGGCTTTTCTCTAGTTTCGGCGAGTGGGGGCTGCTCTTCGCGGCCGTGTGCGCGCTTCTCGCTGCGGCGGCTTCCCTGGCTGCAGACCGCAGGCTCTAGGGTGCGCGGTCCAGTAGTTGCCACACGTGGGGTCAGTAGTTTCGGCTCCCAGGCTCTTAACAGAGGCTCAATAGCTGAGTGGGCGACAGAGGATGAGGTGGTTGGATGGCATCACTGACT